AGCTGTTAATAGCTCCCTTGGTCTACCCTTCTCTCTATAAAAACCTCCCATTTTGTACAACGCCTCAGAGCGCCATTCTAGTTGCCAGATAGGAGGCTGCTGGATTCATGAAATGCTTAGTAAAGCCAATTAGATCTTCAAGTTTACTCAGTTGAATTTTGTTCTTGAACACAAGGAACGTGTTTGATCTGAAATACTAATTGGAAGAATTCATTTCTGATTCTTCCGTTTGGTAACTGCTCCACTTACCAAGATGCATGTCACATACTCGTTTTCAGGTGTTAAGTGCCTAGTGCCCTTCCTGAAAACCCTTGGAAAGAAGAGGTTTCAGGTATCAGGGTGTCACCAAAGAGAAAACTGTATGATTTCATAGGTGTCATTCTCTAATGACACCTGCCTGCCTGCTAGGCACTTTAGCATAATCCTAATTTTGGACTCCTTGCCTTTCTGCTCTTTTCTCAGCAACGGGATATGGGAATAAACATTTCAGGAACAAGTCAATAATTTTCTGAATTCAAAGAAGGCCCATCGCAATACAAGTTCCAACTAAGAAAAAAAAAATTGGCTGGGTCCAAGTTGAATTTTGAGAAAAGGATTTTGAAATCAACTCTTTAAAAGCCTACAGTCACAGGATATAGAATACAGAATAGGGACTAGAGTCAATGGAATTGTAACAGCTACATATGAAGCCAGAGGGCTAGTAGGTTGGGGGAGAGGGGTTATCACTTTGTGAGGGGTGTAAATGTCTAACTACTACATTGTTTCACACACCTGACACTAATAATAATAAAAACGCCTTGAGGATGATGTGCTGTGTCACAGAAGGCAGGCTCTTTTGAGAAGCTCCTGCATGTCTTAATTTCATTTGCATCTAGACAGGAGAGAGGAGGAGATGAACTTCCTAAGCCATGAAGATTGTCAACCTCTGTCCCTCCATCCCTGTTGTGATCATGGCATGCCACAATTCAGGTTAATGTTTCCCCGAAATTTCCATAGGAATGCTAAAAATGATTATCCTAAAAAATGGTTCTGAAGTTAAAGGAGCTTGGAAAGCTCAGAGTTGGAGGGTTTAGCCAGCCTCTTGGCTCCATGTCTTCTCAGATCACAGTAGTTAAAGGCCATTGGAACACCAAGAAGGGTCCACAGGACACAAGCTTCCCAATTGGAGTTGGCCAAGGGCCTTGTTTTTTAAAGAGCTATCCCTTACGATAAGGTTTTGGCAGACTCCACCTTGAGAAATGCTGGCCTAGGGGAGCTGGGACAAAGTTTGTCTTATTGACTCTGAATTAGCAGAATATCTCTGATCATTCACAAGGCAGTGAAAATGGACATGGGGTATATGCGTGGGGTGGGAGTTTCTAGAAATTTCTGTGGTTAGTAAAAACCCTTTGGAAAGGTGAAGGTCTCATCAATAATAGGAATTTAGAGGGAAAACAAGCTAACAAAAGCCATTTCTACTAATGATTTAAGATCTTAAATTCCCAAACAGGCCATATTTGTAGGTGTTCAAAATCTTCTCTGGACAATTGGTAAAGTTTGCCTTTTCTGTACCTCAGAGTTTTCATCTGTAAAATGGGATGAGTAATGCCCACCTCACAGGATAGTTACATGGACTAAAAGAGAATGCATGCAAAAGCACTAGCATATGTAAGACACCCATAGATGGTAGTTTTGTTCTGTTATGGTAAGTGTTTTTTGGAAGTACTTGAGGAGGCACCTTCCTTTTGTTATACAGGTTTTTCAAGGAGGTAGGTTCATATCAAGATCATCTGGGGAACATTTTAAAAACATGCATGTCCAGGCCCCTACTCAGCTTCATGAATCATGATACACTGGTGATGATGGACAAGGAGGCATGTACATTTAAAAAAAAGTTAACACCTGTAATGTATTTGGGGGCAAATCCCTAAATTGTAATGTCACCTCTTTTGGAGTAGCCCTGGGATATATTCCTGAGAATAAAGGGTTTCTGTGGTTAAATGTTTAGAAATGTTACACTAGTACCTTGTCCCTTTCTCCTCCTCTGGGCTTATTAAGTATCTGAGAAGTCCTGCAGTACACAATATTAGCAAACTTTTAACCCACTGCCTTCTGATTGCATCTGACCTTGCAACATGTATTTTTTCCCCAACATCTTTGCTCAACACATTTGAGAAATACTGTAGTATAGAGTTAGCTAGAGAGAATTCTATCCATATTCAGA